TTCTGCTGAAAGTCCTCAGACATGATTAATGTAACCAATAATAGCGTTAATATTAATAGCAGGTTACTCCAGCAGCAGCATCCTGACTGACAATCAATCTGTGCACCCCAGCCTTGTCGCCACATGACAGATCACGCTCAAGGCTTACCCAGGGAAATGGAGAATGCACAGGCTTTCTTTCTACTTTCCCATTTAAAAAAAAATATTCCTTTTTCACGTTAGGGTATTGTGGATAAGCCATTACTTACGGTACAAAGTGTAAGTAATATATTTGCCAAGAAATGAAAACCAGTGACGTGATAGGAAACACTAAGAAGCTTCAAGTTATATCTGAGGCTGAAAGGTTTGGAACAATCCAGAATGTGCTGGAATACAGTTGTCTGCTGTTCGCTGCTTGTTGCATTTTTCCCCCCTGGGAATTCACAAATGAATGTTTGAGCACCCCAGATAGGCGAAACCAGGGACCACAGTTATGATTGTGCCCTAGTCTAGCTTAGTGATCCAGTGAATCTGTTGAGCTTACTCACAGAACCATAAGTGAGAGGCTCTTGGAAGGATGTAGGTGGCTCCCAAAGAGCTCCACCACTGACAAGTCCCACCCCAGTGTGAGTAGTGACTTCCCCCAAACTCCCAATATGGAGTTCCCACTTCCATTAACTCTTCACCTCTTATAAACCTCCCTAGACCGTAGGCAGTTTGGACAGAATTACTGCTAGCATGTACGGCACAGAAGACAGAGAATAGCTAGAATTTTAGATAAGGGTCTAAAGACCCTTCAAAACTCCTCCTTCTATGAGGGAAGGTAAACAGGTCTGATTTTGTAGATAGTCATAGGTGCTCTAGTAATAATTGTTATGCTTGGAGGGTAGTGACCCAAAGAACAGATGGGACCTTAACGGGGATGGGGGAGTGGTGGTTTGAATAAAAATGTCCCCCACAGACTTGTAGGGAGTGACACTGTTAGGAGTTGTAGCCTTGTTGGAGTAGGTGTAGCTTTATTGGAGAAAGTGTACCACTTTCTCAAAGTGGACTTTGAGGTCTCAGAAGCTCAGGCCAGGTCTAATGGCTCACAGTCTCTTCCTTCTGCCTGCAGATCAAGATGTAGAATTCTCAATTTCTTCTCCAGCACTGTGTCTGCGTGCATGCCACCATGCTCCCCACCACGACAATAAAGCACTAAACCTCTGAACTGTAAGCCAACTCGTTAAATGTTTTCCTTTGTAAGTGTTGCCATGGTCATGGTGTCTCTTCACGGCAATAGAATTCCTAACAAAAAGAGTAGGTACATCAGGTCCCCAACAGGAAAAGCAAGCCAAAGATATTAAAAGAAATATCTAGAAGATTTTGAGCCCAACTTCAGTCTATCTGTTAAGAGCTCCAGCCTCCCACTTTTAGAACTTAATTTGGGAGAAACTACTTTAAACCTTTAAGCTCTCAGATCCTGCGAGCTCATTGTTTGGTATTTTTTAAAAAATTGAAAGAGAAGGCAAACAGGCTGGCTGTGAGGGTGGAGTCTGGAGCCAGGCTGTCTGGACTGGAATTTCTGTTCTTCCATTTGCTAAATATTGTCCAGAGAAGGCTATTTAACTTGTGTGTGCCTCGGTTCTCAGCTAGAGAGTAGGGCTGGCTCAGAGTAAAGATAACTAAGGAGCGGTCTGCAAGGTCTATGGTCCCATTCTCTGCAGACAATAGTCTGAGACATTCAGCCAGCCATTTCCTTCTCCCTGATTAACTGGAATTCACGGGGCCATTCCTCCTGGCCCCGGGGCTAGAGCAGATCCTCAGAGTACCAGGTACTTGGTCAGATCGCATCTTTCTTGACTGAATAGTGTTCATTCCTAAGGTACAGTGAGATATAGTTTTACTCAGGTCAAAACACAGACTTCACATCTTCACAGTGACTGTATTTGCTCCCCCCACCCCCACGTCAGCTGTCTGATTTGCCTTCTGGTGGAGCTGGGCGCCCACTCTGGGACCTGCTCACTCACAGGATGGGGCTCATGAGCAGTTTGAGATCACTGGGGTTGGGGGTGGGGGATGAAACAGTGGTGCCTCTTTCCCACAGCTGGATGTGGCCTGTGCATAGTGACACTGATGCCGTGATTTAGATAAGAGGAGAGAGGACAAGAGGAATGGCATGTGGGGACTTGTAGAGTGCTAAGCACCATACCAGGGCTCAGATGGTCATCAGTCCTGAAGTTAGCCTTGCCAGTCTTCATTTTAAAGACCAAGAACATCTCAGCGGGACTTGTGGACCCTCTCAAGGACAACCATTAGTGGGAAAACTGTACTTCCCATTTGCATCTTATGATAATTAACAGGACAATACATTAGGTCCCAAGCATAATTCTCCTTTTGTCCATTTACTTTGCAATGTCTTTATTATTTATAGTAGCTAATACGACATAAATGGTAGATAATATGTTATTGAAGAAATAATGCCAAAAAATGTCCATACACATTTAGTTCAGATATAATCCTGTTCCTCTCCGTTATCCTGACCCCTTTCCCACTAGACCCTTCTGTCCCTGTAATTTCCTCTTCCCCTGTCATCAACCGAAGAATGTTCTTTTGGCCTCACTGAAATCATAATGTTTATCGCCAAGAGATAAATGAGTGGGGCAGGTGACATGACTCTATGGTTAAAGCACTTGCTTCTACAAATGACCTGGGTTTGGTTCCCAGCACCCACATCGAGGCTTTTAATGGTCTGTAACTCCAGTCCCAATGGAAAAAGCAAACAAACAAAAAAACCCTCTTCTAACCGGTTCTGCAGACACTTCAGAAATGTACTGCAAATACATGGAGGCAAAATACACACAGAAGGGTTAATTAATTTAAAAATTATACAATATATTTTGTTATAGTATTTCCCTTCCCCCACTCCTCCCAGATCCTACCATTCTTACTCACCCAACATCATATTCTTTCTCTCTCTTAAAACAAAAATCAGCCTAGATGTCCATCAACAGACGAAATGGGGTACACATACATGGTGGAATTGTACTCAGTTGTAAAGCAAAACCAAGTTATAAAATTCATAGGAAAATAGGTAGAACTAAGAAACATATTGGTAACCCAGGCTTAGAAAGAAAACTACCGGGCTGGAGCGATGGCTCAGTGGTTAAGAGCACTGACTGTTCTTCTAGAGGACCTGAGTTCGATTCCCAGCACCCACATGGTGGCTCACAACCATCTGTAATGGGATCTGATGCCCTCTTCTGGTGTGTCTGAAGACAGCTACAGTGAATTCATATACATAAAACAAGTAAATCCTTTAAAAAGAAAGAAAGAAAAGAAGAGAAAAGAAAGAAAGAAAGAAAGAAAGAAAGAAAGAAAGAAAGAAAGAAA